GCCCGGGGGCAGTTCCGGGTGCCCGGGGGCAGTTCTGGGTGCCCGGGGGGCGGTTCCGGGTGCCCGGGGGCAGTTCTGGGTGCCCGGGGGGCAGTTCTGGGGGACTGGGGTGGGGCAGAGCCGGGGTGTGTCCCCCTGTCCCCATGCTGTCCCCGCAGTGTCCCCGTCTCCATGCTGTCCCCCTGTCACCGTGCTGTCTCCCTGACCCCGTGGTGTCCCTCTGGCTCTGTGCTGTCCCCAAATGTCCCCCTGTCCCCACGCTGTCCCTGGTGTCCCTGCAGCGTCCCCCTGTCCCCACGCTGTCCCCCTGTCCCCTCGCTGTCCCCCTGTCCCCACGCTGTCCTCGAATGTCCCCCTGACTCCACATTGTCCCCACGCTGTCCCCCTGTCCCCACGCTGTTCCCCTGTCCCCACGCTGTCCCCACGCTGTCCCCACGCTGTCCCCACACTGTTCCCCTGTCCCCTCGCTGTCCCCCCGAGCCCACGCCGTGTCCCCGCAGTGTCGTGGCGGGTGAAGTACGCCAGCCTGGGCGTGCTGGTGCTGCAGAACGCGTCGCTGGTGCTCAGCATCCGCTACGTGCGCACCCTGCCCGGAGAGCGCTTCCTGCCCACCACCGCCGTGGTGATGGCCGAGGCCATGAAGGGCAGCGCCTGCCTGCTGCTGCTGCTGATCCAGCACCGGGGTAGGGCGCGGGGATGATGGACATGGGGACAGTGGGGACAATGGGGACAATGGGGACAATGGGGACATTGGGGACACTGGGGACACTGGGGATATTGGGGACAGTGGGGACAATGGGGACATTGGGGACAGTGGGTCTGTGCCTGCTGCTGCTGCTCATCCAGCACCGGGGTAGGGCGCGGGGATGAGGGGACATGGGGACATTGGGGACATTGGGGACAATGGGGACAGTGGGGACAGTGGGGACAATGGGGACATTGGGGACACTGGGGACATTGGGGATATTGGGGACACTGGGGACACTGGGGACAGTGGGAACAATGGGGACAGTGGGGACAATGGGGACATTGGGGACACTGGGGATATTGGGGACACTGGGGACAGTGGGGACAATGGGGACATTGGGGACACTGGGGACATTGGGGACAGTGGGTCTGTGCCTGCTGCTGCTGCTCATCCAGCACCGGGGTAGGGCACGGGGATGTGGGGACGTTGGGGACATTGGGGACACTGGGGGGACAATGGGACACTGAGGACATTGGGGGGACATTGGGACACTGGGGATGTTGGGGACAACCAGGGGACAATGGGGACATTAAGAGCACTGGGGACACGGAGGGGGTGACAGCAGCCAGCGCGGTGACATCGCTGTCCCCGCAGGCAGCGTGTAGCAGACGGTGGTGACACCACACGAGGCCGTGGTGGGACAGTTTGGGGACATTGGGGACACCAGGAGGACACTGAGGACATGGGGGACACGGGGACAGGGAGGGGGTGACAGCGGCCAGCGCGGTGCCATCGCTGTCCCCGCAGGCAGCGTGCGGCAGACGGCGGTGACGCTGCACGAGGCCGTGGTGGGACAGTTTGGGGACACGCTGCGCCTGGCCGTGCCCTCGCTCATCTACACCCTGCAGAACAACCTGCAGTACGTGGCCATCTCCAACCTGCCCGCCGCCACCTTCCAGGTGGGACACGGGGGGGGTGCCCGGCTCGGGGACACGGGGACCGTGCCCGTGTCACTGTGCCCGTGTCACTGTGCCCGTGTCACTGTGACAGTCACCGTGTC